TCTTACAAAGGTCCTGAGTTCAATTCCCAGCAACCACATGGTGGCTCATAACCATCTGTAGTGAGATCTGGTGCCCTCTTCTGGCCTACAGGCAGGATACTGAATAAATAAATAAATAAATAAATCTTTAAAAAAAAGAAAAAGAACTCTTATAACTAGTAATCCTATCAATAATGATTCACCAACTGCAAGTGCATATGATTTACCAATGCAAAATCTTAACAGAGAAAACTAAGTAGCAGAGAGCCCAATTTTAAAAGAACAAAAATGATTGTGCTCGGCACTATAAAGTCGACCTAGCATGCACAAGGTCCTGGGTTCAATTTCCAGCACAAAATAAAACAAAACAGAAAGTGTTTGTATACAACATAGGAAATAAAGTGGATGAGAATATACCAATGAACTAAATATAGTTTACTCTGGATTACAGGAATACACTTGCTTATTAGTTTCCTATTCCTGTGATTTCCCACATTTATGTACATATTTTTTTGTAATCTTAAACAAAAGTATCTGTGTGTATATACCAATAAATTACAAACCAACAATTAAAGAATCTCTAGAGGCTTTCACAAGATGACTCAAGGACTGGAGGTTTTAATGGCTTTGTTTTTCTTTAGATTTATTTAGGACTATGGGTGTTTTGTCTACATGCATGCACACCAGAAGAGGGCATTTGATTCCATGGGACTACAGTAAGAGACAGTGGTGAGTCATCATATGGGTACTGGGAATTGAACTCAGGACCTCTGGAAGAGTAGCCAGTAACTGTTAAATCATCTCTCCAGTCCTTAGAGTTTTTAAGCTTCTCTAAGCTCCCTAGAAATAATGACAGTAGCCAAATATGGTGGCACAGCTTTATAATCCCAGCACCTAGGAGGTAGAGGTAGAAGAATTAGAAGTACAAAAGCAGCCTTGGTTACCTAGTGTTTGTCACAAAGAACAATAACAACAACTTATTCCCACTGCATCCGAATTTAATTTCTATCAGATCTTAACCTAAAAATAGCAATGCTTATTTGAATAACTATAATTAGTTTTATGAATATTAAAATATTTCAACTGCTTTAAGATTTGCCAAACAGTTTTTCTACTCCTGACCTCTGTAAGGCTAGGCAATTAAAACTGTATCTCCTTGTGATTTAATGAATTTGGTTTTTTACAAGGAGATAAATTCAATCACCACTACCCATCACAATAGAATCTATAAATCACAATCTTTCCTTCTGCCTCCTGGCAACAATACCAAATCAAAAAGCAAAAATTTAGTTCCCACTTGAAAAGTTCTTGCTCATTGGAATTATATCTTCCTCCATTTTTTTGTAATATAGTCAGTCTAACAATTTGTAAATGTATGCATGAAATAAACATTATTTGATTTCATGACATCTGTTCATGTACTCAATCAGTAATAAATGGGACTTCCACATTTACCTAATGCTTTTCTATACATAGAATTATCTCTATTAGGGAACTCTAGTAATAAACTAAAATGAAATTCTTCAAAGCCCTTATCAGTTTATGAATATATATGTTTACAATTACATACTGGTCTAGTCTTCTAACTACAATAAGGACAATGGACTATGTCTGTCTTTGCTTACGATTACACTAGCCTCTAGTGCCAACATATAGAAAGTTCACTAAATAATTATTGAATTAAGATTTCGGGGGTCTTTGTTTCGGAGGAGGGTATCACCTGATAGTCCAGACTCGCCTCAAAATTGTGTTATTCTCTTGTCTCAACTTCCCAAGCTCTGTGATTACATCTGTGAGCCACCTCACTGGGCTGTTAATGAATGGATGAACTAATGAATGCTTTTTTGTAGGGGGAGGGCTTTCTCTAATACATAAGAGAATTTGCATTTTTCAGACTTACAAGATGAGAATCCACTTTATTTTTATATTCCTCATTACTTAGCACAAATAAATAACCAACTATCAGAAGTAACTTTCCACTCCTATAGTTTTCAACTCCTTTTGTGTATTTTTATATTCCCAAATGCATATTTCTAACAAGACTTACATTTATGAAGTAATCTTAGGGTTGGATAAAAAGGCCCTTCTCTTTGTCTAAAAAACAGTAATTCCCCATTTACTGTAAGGATTTCTATGTGTTCATGGCTGTAAGAGAAATGTCACAAAGTACCAAGTTAGATATTTTCTTTCCAAAGTGAATATAAGTCAAACATCCTATAAAATTATAACATGAAATAGCCACATACAAAGATACCTGAGCTTATTAATTCAGTGAAGATCCTGACTTAAAAATACCTATCCAGTAGAGAAAATAGAGGACAGAGAGGAAATATGGCCTGCTACATCCAATTTCATTCCACATTTTATTATTGTAATTCCATTGTCAAGTAATAAAATACATCTTTCAAGAGCAAACTGAAATAAATTCAATTATAAAAACAAGTCTTTGATAAAACAATACACATTTTAATATATGTAGATAAGATTTGAAAATAGAAATATTGACAAGTTTAGAGTTAATTCTGTCTATTCTCGTTATTAGTCTATCGATAGCTAATGTGGAAAGATTCCATTTAGAATGAGAACAGTCTAACCTTTGATAGTCAGCTACTCTAATCTTTATGTGGAGAAAAACAAGGACTTACCATCGGACAATTTTCACAGGATCTTTCTTAGGCATGATTTGATTAAGCCATGGTTCAATACCTGGAAATTGCTCTATCAATTGATTTTTAATGCCCTTAATAACCGAGGTTTTCAACTGGATGCAGTTGGACACATTTTCTTTTTCATCAAATCTGGCAAATGATTTTTCAAAGAAAAAAAAAAGAGGGCATTGCTAAGCAGAAGAATCAGAAAATCTAAAAGTAAGGTTCTAATTAATCATCTATTCCCAAGCAAGTAGTCATGCTTAAAATAATTATGAAGTAAATTGCTTTTAAAATACCACAATTTCCATTTGTCTTATACAATATAAAACCAACGTTTTAAAACAATATTAGAATAAACTGCCATGCCTGTTGCAATTAATGAGGGCAGAGTAATTGTTATGCTAGAATTCATTATCAGCTACATAAATGCCTTTTACTAAAAATTCTTGCTCAAAGAAAAAAATAGATTCCCATCCATAATAAAAAAAAAAACTTGTAGGTTTTTTTTTTTTTAATCTAAACAAAACCTCACACGTTAAGATACAAAAGACCACCCAAGCATAACAAAAGAATGAGCCCCGGCAGGTTATGGAGTCTGCTGGGACTTTTTTTTTTTTTTAGGAATGTTGATAATTTTAAGATCCGTTAAGATCTGCTCAAATTTTCATGCACAAAACCCACCTTCCTTTTCCCATGTTCCCCCTTTGCCTTTCGCGTCTATCAAATCTGGAAGATAAACCCACTGGGTAGGTTTCCAAGGAATTTTTGTCTTCCTACACTGGCTAGCACACAGGACTATCTCGTTGTTTTCAAGACAAGGTTAATCTGGCAGCTAAGCAATAGGCTTGATAGACTGCCTGCTTCCTGTCACCCAGACTCCTTCGCTGCCATGACCCAGGAAGTCAAGCCTTCCCTTTTTCAGTTCATAACTAATAAACATATGGCAGCGAGTGCAGGGCTCTCCTCTCAACTAAGGAGGATGTGCCCCTAAATCACAATGCAAGGATGTGATTGGTAGAAACCTAGGAATGGAGATAGCACTGCCGGAGGGGGCAGAACAGGGTTAAGGAGAAAGAAAATGGGAGCGAGAGAGCCAAACCCCGATTGAGGGCTAGAGATGGAAAGCTTAAAGAAGTGTTCCAAGTCCTGAGTGAGAGCATAGTACGATATATATATAAAAAAAATCTTAGGGAGTCAGGATGGCAGGGGCGGAGGAGAGAAAGAGGACCTTTGCTCTCGCCCTCTTCCCCACCCCCACCCCCACCGCCTTTGTGAGCAGCCGACGGAGGCCACAGCGTGTCCTTACTTCTTGAACATGATCCAAGGTGAAGGGGGCGACGATAGGGAAGGGCCCGGAATGGGAAGGAAATTGAATTAGGAAGGGTCCGGCACGAGGAAGGCCGGCACTGACAGTAGGAGCTGCTGTCGTTATCCGGAAGGCGAAAATACTACCCGCTTTACGGCCCTCAGCGAAATCTGACTACTTCCGCTCCTCTCAACTCCACGTTGACGCTTTTGTTGCCTCCTTTTGAGTAACAGCTTACTCCCCATTGGGGATAGCCGAAAGGGCGGGACTTTAGAAGTGATCAAGCAATTCTTTCTGGTTGCTGAAAGAGAAGAATGGAGGAGGGCGGGAATCAATCAAAGCAGCATTTTAAGCAGTTGCGTCAGTTACGGGTTCCTCAAAGGGTCAAAATTCTTTGGTCCTTTGGTTGCTACCAATTACTGTACCAAATAGTTTGTAATGACAATGATTTTTGTTTTCTATCTGAGGCGACCTAGGGAATTGGTGCTTACCAAGCAGCACGAACCTAGATGACCCTCAAATTACAGGATACTTAATTAAATTTGAATTTCAAATTAAGTGAACATCTTTTACTGCAAGCATGTCTCATCTACATTTTGAACATGCCTATGCTAAGAACTACTTGTTTATCTGAATTTAATTAAACAACCTCTTTTTTTAAATCTGGCAGCACTAGTCATTAGAGAGTGAAGTGCTCTTATAGAATTATAAAATAAATCACCAAGTTGCTGTCCCCTGCTTCACTCGGATACTTAGAAAATGAACTATAAATGGAATGTAGTAGGGAATGATGGTTTACGCCTTTAATCCCAGCACTTGGGAGGCTGGGTTGGTGGTCTCTGAGTTCAAGGCCAGCCTGTTGTACAGCACTAGTTTAGGTTTAGGGACAGCCAGGGTCCACGGAGAAACCACGTCTCAAAAAATAAAAAAATTAAAACAGCCGGGCAGTGGTGGCTCACACCTTTAATCCCAGCATTTGGGAGGCAGCTGCAGGTAAATTGAATGCCAGCCTGGTCTACAGAGTGAGTTCCAGGAAAGCCAGGACTATTTCACAGAGAAACCTTGTTTCAAAAAACAAAAAAATAAAAACAAACAATCAAAAAAGTACAATTTCCTGTCAGACATGGTTAACACAGCCCATATTCACAGCACTTGAATGGCAGGAGGAAACATGAGACCCCCATCTCAAAAAGAAAACAAAACAAATTTAAAAATAGGTAATTTCCTTAAAGAATAAAAAGACCACTGGACCAGTAATAATAGTCATAATCTAAATGAAGAGATAAAAAATCCATTTTGTGGTGCATGCCTTTAATCCCAGCACTCAGGAGGCAGAGGCAGGTGGATCTCTGTGAGTTCAAGGCCAGCCTGGTCTACAGAGCAAATTAAAAAAAAGAAAAGAAAGAAAGAAAGAAAGAAACCCATTTTGCTGATTCCTAATGATACTCTGCTATACACATAGATAGGAGCCTAACATAATCATCAACAGAGAGGCTTCAACCAGCAACTGATGGAAACAGACACAGAGACCCACAGCCAAACATTAGGCAGAGCTTAGGGAATCCTGCAGAAGACGGGGAGGAAGGAGCCAGAGGGGTTAAGACACTACAAGAACACAGCCCACAGAGTCAACTCACCAGGGCTCATAGGGGCTCACAGTAAATGAAGCGACAGTCAGGGAGTCATAAGTCTGACCTCTGCATATATATTATGACTGTGTAGCTTGGTGTTCTTGTGGAACTCTTAACAACGGGAGCAGGGGCTGTCTCTAACTCATTTTTTTGCCCGCTTTTGGGACCCTTTACCTCCTACTGTGTTGCCTAATCTAGCCTTGATATGAGGGTTTGTGCCTAGTCATTTTGTAAAGCGTTATGCCATCTTTGGTTGATATCCCTGGGAGGCTTGCTATTTTGTAAAAGGAAACGGGGAAGAGTGGACCTGGGGGAGAGGGTGGGTTGGGAGGAGAGGAGGGAGGGGGAAATGGTGGCTAGGGTGTAAAATAAGAGGGAAGAATAAATTTTTAAATAAAAAGAGAAGAAATATATTTTGCTTGTGTATTTTTTTTTTTTTTTTTTTGAGACAGGACTTCATTGTATGTCCCAGGCCGGCCTGGAACTCCTTATGTTGATCAAGTTGACCCCTGAGTTCCAGGTCAGCCTAATTTGTAGAGCAAGTTCCAGGGCAGCCAGGGTTACACAGAGAAACACTATTTTGAAAAACAAAAGAAAATTAGTAATAAGTGGACAAATTTATTAGCTTATTGCGCTTTTTATTTGAAAATCTACTAAGGGGATTAGAGCAATGTTTCCCCAGTTAAAAGTACTGGCTGCTCTTCCAGAGGACCTGGGTTTACTTCCTAGGACCCATGGAGCCGCACATAACCATCTATAACTCCATTCCTGGGTGCTCCAATGCCCTTTTCTTGCCTCCATGAGCACCAGGTGTGTATGAAGGAAGAACACCCATACACATAAGAAAATAATAATTTAAAAACTACTCTTTATATTTATTCAGAAATTCATATTAGTAGAAATAATGACTTCTTACTCATGCATTCAATCTCTTGCTAGAGCTGGTACCATGTATTGCCAGTACCCAGTCGATGGCATTTTTGTTTTGTTTGGGGCTTTGGGTTTTTGGATTTTTTTGTATGTGATTGTGGTGGTACTGAGAATGGAACCCAAGGCATTGTACACACTGGGCAAGCACTCCACCACTGAGCTACATTCTCATTCCTCTTATCTTAATTTTTAGGTTTATTTTTGTTGTTGTTGTTCTTTTGATTTTTTGAGACAGGGTTTCTCTGTGTAGCTTTAGCTGTACTGGAACTAACTCTTGTAGACCAGGCTGCCCTTGAATTCACAGAGATCCTCCTGCCTATGCCTCCCGAGTGCTGGGATTAAAGGCAGAGTTTAGTTTTTAAATTTTGAGATAGAGTCTCACTATGTTGCCCAGCGTTGAATTTGAGCTCTTTTTCCCTCAGCTTCCTGAATATCTGAGATTACAGGCCACTGCTAGCGGGCTGTGAGTGGTAGTTGCTGCTTGGTTGCTTAGAGTTTTTATTGTTCTTTTGTGTTGTTGCTGTTTTTGTTTGAGGCAGACCCTTACTCCAGAGGCTGACCTGAAATTCACCAAGTAGCTCAGGCTGACCCCAAACATGAAGTTCTCCTACTCAGCCTCCCAAGTGCTGGAATTACAGGCATCAACTGCCACACAATTCAGTGGCACAGCGCATACCTAGTATGTACCATACATATGCACCCACCCCACCTCACAAACCTGCTGTATCGTTAATTACCAAACGGAACTTGAAAGAATTCTTTCTTTTTAAAATGTATTTATTTATTTTATGTATGAGTGCTCTATCTTCATGTATGACTTTATGCCAGAAGGGGGCATCAGAGTCCACTAGAGATGGTTGTGAGCCACCATGTGGTTGCTGGAAATTGAACTCACTCAGGACCTCTAGAATAGAGCTCTTAACCACAGAGCCATCTTTCCAGCCCTGAATGGTTTCTTTTTTAAAAAAAAATAATTTATTTTTGTTTATTTTATGTGCATTGATGTTTTTCCTACATGTATATCTGTATGAGGGTGTCAGATCCCCTGGAACTGGAGATACAGACAGTTGTGAGCTGACATGTGATTACTGGGAATTGAACCCGAATTGAACCCAGGTCCTCTGAAAGAGCAGCCAGTGCTCTTAACCTCTGAGCCATCTCTCCAGCCCCGAATTGTTTCTTTCTTTGTTTTGTCCTTGCTTCATCTGTCTGGGATAGATAGGGGTTTCTGTATATCACCCCAGAAAAAAAAAATAACAAAATAGTGGTATATATAGTATAATAATGAAATGGAGTCTTCTTTTCCAAGATTATGTTTTAGAGTTTTCTCCTGAGAAAGAAATTATTTTATTTATTTATTGTGTGTGAAGTGTGCTCATGTGCATACCACAGTGTGCATGTGAGCAGAGGGTAGCTTCTAGGAGTCAGCTCGTCTCTTCTGCCTTTGGAACCTGGGAAGCAAACTCATGTGATCAAGCTTAACATAAGCATCTTTACCTGTTTCACCATCTTGCTGGTCCAGCATTCACCTTTAAGTAAATCATTGCTATAACAAACCAGTGCCACAGAGGATGTATTTCAAAATTATTCTCTTCAAAAATTAAAAATTGAGCTGGGTGGTGGAGGCATACACCTTTAATCCCAGCACTCTGGAAGCAGAGATAGGTGAATCTCTGAGTGCAAGGCCAGCCTGGTCTACAGAACTTGTTCCAAGACAGCCAGAGCTACACAGAGAAGCCCTGCCTTGAAAAAATAAAATTAAAGTAATGATGACTCAGCACTGTAAGTGCAACATTTGAGAGGCACAAGAGGACCAGAAGTCTAAGGCCAGCCTAAGCTATGAAGACCATCTCAAAAATACAAAAAGAAAAATGAAAAATGAACTTCAGGCCAGATGGGGTGGTGTAGGCCTCTAATATCAGCTCTCAAGAGAATAAAGCCTTGCAAGTTCAAGGACAACCTGGGTAATACAGTGAGACACAGTACCTTAACTAAAATCAACTAAATCCGAATCCTGGAAATCTTTATTTATTCGTGTCATAAACAGTTATCAAGTTCTTTTATGATTTTGATATACATGATTTCTCTCCTATAGTTTATTGATAAATATTTCCTGCATCATATTTTACAAGATCCCCAATGTCCACACAGGATAGGACATAATCCCCAAGCCAGTCATGTATTTCACTAAGAGCTGTAAAAGCATTAAACATGTCACAGTTGTGTTTGTACAGTTAGGGTTTAGAGCATGTTTTACAAACTCATGCTGATACTATGCTCTAAGTGCAACCCAGGGAAGTACTACTTAAGCAATAAGCATAGCACTCAGACCCTTTAGAGAGTCGAGGAAAGAAAGATTTTCTTAGAAGACAGGGCACAAATTTGAACAGTGGAGAAGCTGCTTTCACTGCAAGAAAGAACTGAGCCACTGCCAGACCCTTGCTGGGCCCCCTGTCTCTCAGAATCTATAGCCTGTGAAGGCTCCTCGTAAACTCATATTTTCCACAGACTGCCTCACAGCCTTCTACTTTAGAGGCAGCTGCAGCCTGGCTTTCTATCCCCTGGTAGATCAAAACACACCTAAGAATCACAACACTTCCCCAATGCCCCCTACCAACTCTGAAAAGCATAAGTGAGTAAGCACGGTAGTACTTCTTGTCCAGATCTTCCTCTACAAAGCAACATATGTCACATCAGTGAAAGAAACAGCTCCCACCTCCAGTCTCAAACACAGCTGCTTTTGGAGACCCGAG